CTGCTGGTGCTGCTGGTGCACACCTTTGTACGCACAGCAGCTGTGTGTGTGAACCTCTCGCTGTGTGTACCATGGCGGCACTGCTGTGATTGTACATGTAGGTATTGCTCCGCATATAACTGCTGCTGGGGCACGGCACAACTGCATACCCCGGACTTGAAAAAAATTCAAACAGCGAGGGGGGGGAGGGGGAGCATTACCTACGGACATACAACACGAAGCTCAATGGGACCTACCGCCAGTTCCTTGCACGGTGCATCGGCTGGAGCAAGCGGAAACGCTCAGACCGCTCCCTGTCCTATTCCCAGGCCCTCATCCAGGCAGGAAACCATCGAGGCCACCGTGCGCAAACGGAGACGGTGGTTCGCGGGCTTTGTTATGCGCATGGACGACAGCCGCCTCCCCAAGCGCACGCTGTTAGGAGCGATGGCGGGGGGCGTGGGATACCGGGGCGGCCAGGAGAGCGACTGGGTGTCTCGTCTAGGAGAGGACCTCGTGGCCTTCAACATGGGAGACGAAAAGGAAGGGGGAAAGTAAATGGAAAGAGAGCGCCAAGGATCCGGAGGTGTGGTACAGCAAGGTCGAGGACGGGGCGGCATGGTTCATGAGGAAGTGGCACAGGCAGGAGGCGGAAGCGTCCGCGAAGCGCCAGCGCGCGAGGGAAGCAGAAGCAGAGTACGGCCATCTCAGGACCGAAGAGAAAGAGAGCCGGGGAAGCGGCGGTGGGGGGGAAGAAACGGCGACCGGGCACTGCTGTAGAAGCGAGTAGGGCGGCCGAGGCAGCATTTGTGGCGAACTATGTACCCGGCTGATGTTGTTGCGCCCTGTCTCCCTCCCTGCTGTATGCGATGCTCCTTGATGTATGTCCTTTGTATTGCCTTCGGCCTCTGTGCTGTGTTTCTTTCTTTCATGACCTACCTGCCTACTCTGCTGTGTTGGGTACCTTGATCTCGCTGTGCTGTTGCCTTTGTTTTTGTCCGTCCCGCTGTCTGCCCATCTGCCGCCTCTTTGTCCTGTTTGCTCCGTTACTCCCATGCCCTGGTGCGTAGTGCCTGGTGCTGGTACGTTATATTCGATGTACTCGTAGCACAGCATGGGGGGGGTGGTACATTGCGTATACATATGCGGGATTTGCAGTGACGAACTACGGAGGAACAAGAAGTTTCTTCATGATTTTCTTGGGAGTGTGGTNGCGGTGCGGTCCGTGCGGGCGGAACAGGGTGATGGCTACAGCAGTTGGGCGATATGCCGGCTCACGGACATCACGCGGTGAACGGGCTGCAGCCTGAAGGGGCATAACAGCCACCCCGATACACGTCATGAAACGTAGACTAAATTATACGTTTACGAAGTAATCCGCCTACTTTCTTCCCCTGTTGGAGAGTCAATACTTCAATACGAGAACAGTGGGGATGATCGCCCAGGGATGCGCACATGCGCGGGCAGAGTGGAGAGTTAATACTTCAATACGAGAATAGTGGGGATGATCGCCGAGGGATGCGCACGTGCGCGGGCAGAGTGTGTGTTGTTGTGCTTTTAAGAAAAATAGCAAATATATGTTAGAACCAAGCAAGACACGCGTGAGGTGAACCAAGCATCGCAACGCGTGAGGTGAACCAAGCATCGCAACGCGGTGGGGGGCAGAGGAGACTCCATCTACAGCAGCAGCAGTATCTGCAGCAGTTAGGAAGAATATACAGCAGTCAGTAGTCTTGTACCTGGCGTAGTATAGTACTGTATGGCTGCGGTGACCTACATCTAGCGTACAACGGGCTCCATCGCCAAGCACCTCAGGGGGTTCTATCACGTGCGTTANCGAGCTCAAGCACGCCCCCGATGAATACAACACGTTTTACAACACGTTTTACAACACGTTTTTCCACACCTCTGTACGACTTTACCTAGCCCTACGGCCCGTCATGGCCGAGCTGCTCTACACTCCCATCACACACAACTGAGCCACCCGAATTATCGATCGCGTTACCCTTGAGTTTTTTTTTTAGGCGGGTGTGGGAAGCGTCCTCCTTTATTTCTGTTCTTGTTTCNTGTGTGTGAACCTCTCGCTGTGTGTACCATGGCGGCACTGCTGTGATTGTACATGTAGGTATTGCTCCGCATATAACTGCTGCTGGGGCACGGCACAACTGCATACCCCGGACTTGAAAAAAATTCAAACAGCGAGGGGGGGGAGGGGGAGCATTACCTACGGACATACAACACGAAGCTCAATGGGACCTNTGATCGGTTTCCGAGAGCTCTTTTCTCGAACGGTCGGTGCGATACCTGTTGTTCTCTTTCTATCATTTTGTTTTCTTTTTCCGAGTGGTTTGTACCCTAGTTTTGTTTTTTTTTCCCGCGGCATCGTATGTGCCGGGTTTTGAGACCACGGGCTCCCCATTTTTTGTGGACTATCAATAGAGCTAATGTGAGAAACAACAGCAACAAACAATATATGTCGCCTTTTTCGCCGAAAATAGACAGATTCAGTACTGCTAAGTATATTCAAAGTATATATACGTTGCCCGCCGCGGTGTTGTCTCTCTGTGTGTGCCTGGTGTCGTGTGTCCGACCTAAAAAACAAGGAGGCACGCGCGCGCAATTGCGCGGCGTGCAACGAAAACTACACCTGTATGTGTGTAATGACTTTTACTGCACGGCGGAAGGAAATGGTGTACACCTGCCCGACTCGGCACGGCGAGGGGTGACGCCCCCGGTTCCAAAAAAAATTCAAAGTTCTCATTGCCCACTCCGTAGATACATTGCTGTTGTGTCCCCGACGACCGTTCGTCCGTCTACAGGCCCACAACTTTAGTCTCTGTTTCGAGCGAGCGTGCGGGTGTACTCCATCTTCCCCAGACCCACATCTAGCCAGGGTGTCGCAGTATATGACCTTGTCAGGCTTTGCCGGCCGAGGGTGCCCGGCCGTGTGTGTCCAAAAGAGAAAAAATGTGTTTATTGCGCCGCACAACTACAGTCAGTGTGCCGTTTCGTCGGTGGTGAAGTACCTCTGTCTCCTTTTCGCGCGAACATGCTGGTACACCATCGTGTCCAGACCCATATCTAGCCAGGGTGTGGCAGTGTATGACCTTGTCATGGATATGGACACTGCCACGGTGCGACAGGGTCGTGTACAAGGTCGAATAGCCTACAAGGTGGCTGTAGGGTGAGCCAAATGGCTACGGGTGTTGGTGCCCCTGCGGAGTTCGGAGTTCGGCGGGGTTGCTGTTGACAGTCCCTTTCACAATGGTTGAAAGGAAAGAAAGGTTTTTGGAAGGTTCTGGATTGTTCTGAAAGTGCTTCTTCGTTCCTAAAAGCGGTTGGACCGATGGGCTTCTCTTGGAATTGTATTTATTTCTCCTTATGGTCCAGACTTCTGTGGTGTTCGCGAACCCACTCTTTTATTCAGGCAGAGCAGTTGTAAACAGGAAAAGGTGGAGGGCAAGGAGAGAGCGAGAGAGAGAGAGCGGGAGGAAAGCGAGGCAGAGCAGAGGGATCGGAGAATGGCGCAAAAGAGTAGCGGAACATCAACTCGCCGCACCGGTAAGTGATAGGAGAATAGGCGTGTAACGTGTTTTCGGATGCACTGCATCCCCGGGACTGCTGCTGTGCTGCACTCATTGCAACAAGAAGGGCTGTAGACCATAATTACATGCATCTTACGTAGACTGCATACTTTCGGGGGCACGGCTGACTCTACAGCAGTACAAGCTGTAGACTTTGCACAGAGTTTGCACACGTACCAACCGTCAGCCAGCCTCTGTGATGCTGCTCTGGAGTTGCTTGCTGTACAGAAGGTGGCGGTAGGCGCTGGGTTCAGTCGATGTCTCGATATGTATTGTCTGTTTTGTTCTTGTTTTCTGTCGCATTGAGAACATTATGAAAATTCTCGTTCTTGCATTAGTCTTCAGGCCAGACGTAGCATAGGTACAGCGTAGATTATTCCTGTGAAGGCTGCGAGCGTCGGCACCGCTCAAAATAAGTACGTGGGGCACGATACTTCGAAGGATGCCCTACTTCGGGCGTAAATCTTCGAGCTACCCACCACAGTGACTCTGGCACCCTCAGTGAGCTAACTGCAACCACCATTCTCTTTCACTAACTGAGCTCTTCCTTTTACTGTTTGTTGCCATTGCGTGAGTTGCACCGCGTTGTCGTCAGGGTGCGTGAAATTGGTGGTGGCGTTCAGTTGGGTCTGCAAAGCTGTTACAGCGGTACCATGGTACTACTCTGTAGCAAAGGCGCTGAGGATATATTTCAGAACGGCACCCGTCAAGAGTGTATCGCGCCGGGGTATGTTACGCACAAATGCGACCACGATTTTTCTTTTTTTCCTTCTTCTTCCGCCCCAGAGAGTCATGACACCATGTCATGAAAGAACGACAGTACGTTCGAGGTGGTTCTGGAGTAATCACTCGCAGTCTCATCGGTTGTGGTGTGAAGGGCTTGGCTTACTGAAATCCGCAACCGTTTGACCGCGGGGGTGTAACTCTCATCTATATTCATTGTCCATATGAGTACTACAGCACTTAACTGCGGCATATCCCAAAAGTTCTTCTTTTCCGACACCCCGATTCTCCGCTCGTGGTTCGATCAATGATCCATATTTAGTTGACATTACTTTGGACGTGTCCATAGATACCGGAAAGATGCCCGTGGGCAATATTGCCGCAGCAACTCTGAAAATCCTGGATGTAGGTAGGTATGGTTTTCTGTGCACACGCAGGCGCCGAATATCTCACGGCGCTTCGCGCTTGGTAATACGAGAGCCTGGTCCGGTGAGAACCCGGCGTGCTCCGTCCCGGCTGTGTAGGGATGCGAGGTCAATGGTCCAACGACTACGGCATGCACGACTATGAGTACACCCCCCCCGGGCCCATGTAACAACGATCGATGACGACGTGGTATACAGCAAAGTGGCGGTGTCGGAATGGTATCGTACGGCTTTCCCAATGGGCGTCGCTTTGATGAATAGATACTAGACTTTATCCTCTTCCGTCGTGGAATGACAAAATACTTTCTTAGAATGTTCACGATGCAGGGTTGTAATATCTTGGTCACCTCCATTTGTCTGGTGGGCACAGTCTTTTGTCCATTCTACAACAGAGGCGATCCACATTTTGTAGTCCCCTTTTTTTTTTGTTCTCACACGACCCTCATCATGATGAATTTAGGAATAGACCTACGCTGCTAATTCAACGTCAGAGGCTCGGGAGACGCTCTCGTTAATCCACAGCATCTCATAGAGATTCGACGCTCTCTGTCTTGGGGTTTTGTACCATGACGCACCATGAGAATATTCTTATGATGCCCCTAACCCAATGAGGTACCATGAGAAATGTCATCACGTGATCCAAGGTGCGACCAACAAAACAAATGCCGACGCCTCACCCCACTACTTTATTTTGGACCTCTCCGAGGAGGGGGGGGGGCATGCGGCTTGTGCCGAGAGAGAAAAACAGAATCTAACCAAAGAAACAATGTAAAAGCAGGTCCTAGAATTGTACGGAATGTTGAAAAAAGGAGTAGGTTTCAAGGAGTACCTACATGGACCAATGGATGCCGGGACAGAGCTTCAGGTCTGATTCAGAACCGGGGACATAGGCCTTCGGGAAGGCAGACGAAAATTTAGGGAAGTAAACGATGAATACGAAAAGTTCAAATGTCATGGTGGCTCCGAGTGCGAAGACCTTGTTCATGTTGACTAGTTGCGGAATGCTCGTTGAACAGGGACAGGGAGGAAGTGGACATGACTGAGCTGCCAAAAGAAGAGGGGAGATAGAGGGAGATGATTGAGGCATGGAATAGCCAGGACAATACGGTAGCGGTACTGGGGCAAAGGAAGTGGGTTGAATGAAAAGGCGGGAAGTGATATCGATAGGATTGTAGATGGATTAAGGAAGACATTCTTGAGCCACCTTTGGCAAAGTAGGAAGAAACGATTGGCCATCGGTTATCGGTCCTGTGGGTACACAGTACCCCGTCCTCTCCTGGCCGCGTGGTCAATGATCTAACCGCTAGAGGATGCAGAACACAAGAGTACGCCCCCCACCTCCAACGCCAAACAATTTCCTCTACAAGTCGAGTCCATAGAAAACAATCCTTTTTAAAGGGGGGCATACTCCATGCACGACAATCCACGTGGCGAGCTTGCCTGTACCGTAGCCGACGGCACCGAAGCAGAGGTTGGAGGAGAGTTAGGGTTAGGGAGGAGGGGGGGGGATGACGGCGCTCGAGGCGAAAGCGCTCGAAGAAGCGGCTGTAGTCTTGTTGAGGGAAGTGAGCTGGGGGATAATAAGTACAACGCACGGCAAATTGCAATTGTGTACGGGTGTTGCACGTGGCGAAGGTGGAGCCACCACCGTACGCTCACCTCCGGCCCCTCTAAGGTATTTCCCGGCTTGAGTAAGCTTGGATTGGTTCCACGCATGGTTTTAGTGTGTTCATTGGTTCTGGTGTGTCGTTTGTTGGTGATATTTCGCCATGTTCGCCCGAGGTCAATTGGTCATGATAGACTTACCGCACAAGCTTGGAGAAGTTCTGAGCTTTGCAGCTTGGGGGGTTGTCCCAAGCAATAGTTAAAGACTTCAACACCAACCACAAATGTCCCAGCCCATCATAGCTATTCTACGAAGTAGCAATCTACTTCTTCCGGTGCCGGATGTACATAATATTTTCTCAAAATTTATCAAACTGCTCTTCTAACAGGGTACTTTGTGGACGTGCCGTGAACACCAGCACATGCAAGCACACGCAATTGAGGGGGAGGAAAGCAAGAATTCCTGCACAAAATGTACCGCGAAAAACAGAAACTTTCTTCGCTGCCCTCAATCTCCCACACTACTAACAGTTTTTCTAAACCGCCCATGGGACACTCATGGGCCGCCCATCGGTTCGTCATGGGCTCTTCATAGGCCGCCCATGGGCATACCCATGAAGAGCCCATGGGCGGCCCATGAAGTGCCGACCGTGGGCACTTCAACCTAGAACTTCCGGCCTATAAACCTAGAACTTTGCCACCTTCACATCAACCTAGAACTTAACCACCAGCGCCAACGTAGCACGTATCGTGTGGGCTTGGAGTTAGGATGAGGGTCAGCGGTAGGGTTGTTTGCCGCAGTATTATAGTGCCTATATAACGTATTGTTTAGGAGTACACTGGTTCGATTGAAGGGCTCTCATTGGTCGTCCTTGGGTTTCCCATGGGTTGCCCATGGGCATGTCATGGGCGTGCCCATGGGTGACCCATGGGTTTTCGGAAAACCGTAGAAAGTGTGGGAAACCCACACCGCATGACCACGGACTGCTTGTCCCCCACCTCTGATACCTGGCGTTAGGAAACCATGGGCAGCAAAACAAAGAAGGCGCCCTACTCTGCGACGTGCACTATCTCTGTATTCTGCTGAGCACGGCTCAGCCACATGTGGCAACTAGTTGCCTGGGGACGACGGAGTGGTCATATGGGTGCCATTCCACCGCCTGCAATAGTATGTTCTTCTCTACTCGGCATGAAGGATGACGAAAAAAGGGTACCATCAAAAAGAGAACGATTCTCATGTTTTTGCAAGAGGTGCTGAACCCCCCCGACCTCTACGATGCTGGTGTGAAACAGGCAAAATATTGAAAACGCCTGTTGAAGGGATAGGATACGTTGGAAACGTTTGGCATGTTACAGTACACGATAAAAGATGGGAAAGTGATTCAGTGCGGTGACTGTGCCCATTGTGGTGAGCGCATACCAATAGATTTGGAAAACTTAGTTGTCGGAGTTTTCCCTCCTTTCAAGAGCCCGCCCCGCCACCCCCTCCCCCGTCACCTATTTGGGCTGGAGGCGTGAAATCGGAGTTTCCCTGCAGGAGCAGATCGTATGTTCTCCCCCCTTTTTCGATTCCCGTCCGGGGGGAGGTTGGTGTCAGAAAATAGAACCCACCTCCCGGCAGTGAAAAACCTCGAACGACAACGGTTTTCAACCCACAGAAAGAAGGTCATTGAATACCAACGACAACTGCGCGATCGAGACTGAATTTTTCAATTTGAGCCGCGTGTACTTGAAAATCAACCGTGCCCCACGAGTTGTAGGTAATCTGTCTGTCGCGCCACGACTAAACATGACATACTTTGTCCCCCCCAACGTCAACTTCACCCTCCCCCGTCTTACCCACAAGCATGGTGATTCCCGCCGTGCTATATATATGGGCAATGGCTGATCAACAGTGCCTTCGCGCTCGTCTGCCCCGTGATAAATGTAAACTTCTTTTGCACGAATGCACTTCGTAATCGCACAGCTTCATTCAGGTGCGACAATTGTGTCGTGGGTGTGGTGTCTCTAGACGAACGTTCACACGTTCGCACCCGCCTTAGGTCAGCCGGCTGCGAAGGTATTCGAGAAAAAATTTTCACACAGTGATGGGCACGAGCAGAGATTGCGATGGTTCGCAAAAACGGTAGATGATGTGTCGGCGAGCAGTCAAAAGCGCTGCAAGACTCCCGTAACGAGGAACACATACATGTAAGTAGGTACTTGGCTTCGATCGGGATGACGGTAGAGTAAAGACTAACAATTTAGTCTGTATCACCTTGGCCGACGAGCCCCGCGTCGAGATAGAAGAATACAAGCGGTCCACAGCGGCATGGGAGTACTTGCTCGTCGGTGTCACACATCTCCTAGCCTTAACGAAAAGGAAAATGTGTCGACTCGGATACTATCAAATATACCACAAGTTACGGCTGGGAACTAGGAAGGTACGAAGGCTTGAGACGAAAATCATCGTGCAGCTAGTTGCCACACTCACACGCGTCATTTGTGACATTTCGTTCACCAGGAAACTTCCGTGAGCAAGCGGTGACATGTTCATAAGCAAAGTACCATGGGCACTTTCACTTAAGGTTTCTTTAACCGCCCTGGCAGGACCCGAAAAGAATGGGGTTGCCCAAAGAATGCCGGTACCACTCCCCCCCAACGCGAAAATGTCCCAAACAAGGAAGGGGGTCTGCAATCAGTGCAAGAATATTATTTTCGCGCGCCTCTGTTCAGCGACTCCCAGCCCACCCGGTGTTTGCCTTCGGGGTTGGGTTTTCGTCGCTTGGCAACGACGTTGTAAAACAAGCCAATTCACTTCGTGAACTCGGCAACCAGGTTACCGTTTTTGTTATTTCCCTCTGTTTTTTTTATTGGCGGTAACCATAATGGTGGTCGAGTAGATCATGTTGTGCGGGGTGGAGAACCCTCACTCCGCGCAAGGGGGATGATCGCACCACGTTGTGTTAAAATGGTCAAGCACCCTCGAGGCAGTTACACAGTGCTTACAACTGTCTCTGGAAGTGAAAGCACCAGAAAATAAATTAATTCATACGCAGCTGTCATCCGTACGCAAGGAAGTAAGCACAAGATGCCGAACACCCTTAGCAGGATGCAGCGCACCCTTCATGCGACTCGCCGAATATCTCACGGCGCTTCGCGCTTGGTGATGTGAGAGCCTGGTCCGGTGAGAACCCGGCGTGCTCCGTCCCGGCTTTGTAGGGATGCGAGGTCAATGGTCTAACGACTACGGCATGCACGACTATGAGTACACCCCCCCACCTCCCCTCGGTGTTTGCTTCGCGTGGCAACGAGTTTGATAAACAAGCCGCCCTCCCCCGGTGTTCGCCATCGGGATTGGGTTTTAGTCGCTCGGCAGCGATGTGGTAAAATAAGCCTATCAAGAAGGAGCTCGGCAACCAGGCTACTGCTTTTCTTTTGCCTTTTTTTCTTTTTTTGCGGCAACCATGAATGATGGTCGAGCAGATCATGTTGTGCGGGGTCGAGAACTGTCACTCCGCGCGAAGGGGTTAATCGCACCACGTTGTGTAAAGCTTCGTCGAGGCAGCTACACAGGGCTTACAACTGTCCCTGGAAGTGAAAGCACCAGAAAATAAATTAATTCATACGCAGCTGTCATCCGTACGCAAGGAAGTAAGCACAAGATGCCGAACACCCTTGGCAGGATGCAGCGCACCCTTCATGCGACTCGCCGAATGCCCCACGGCGCTTCGTGCTTGGTAGTGTGAGAGCCTGGTCCGGTGAGTACCCGGCGTGCTCCGTCCCGTCTTTGTAGGGATGCGAGATCAATGGTCTAACGACTACAGCATGCACGACTATGAGTACACCCCCCCCGCTGTTTCAGCGGCTCGGTATTGTTAGGTGGTACGATGAGCTACGATGAGGATAGTTTCTTGAGATAATGCATTGTTTGATTCTTGGATAGTAGCCAAGACGAAGGATTTTTTATTCCCTGCGGACGGAGGATTGTTGGGCATGTATCGGGTGTAGTTAGCGTCATTTCGACACCCTCCACGAGACGCTAACACACAAAAAGCCATCTCCATTCATCCGTCTTGGCCGAAGCCGTTGTTTGGCGGGAATTCCACACGGCGCCCATGGCTTCACATTGGCGTGGGGCCCATGGGGCCTCCCACACTTTCTACAGTTTTCCCAAACGACCCTTGGGACTCCCGCGGGTGCACCCATGTGCACTTTGTTGCCCATGGGCGGCCCATGATCAACCCATGGGAAGCCCATGGGCGGCCAACGAGAGCCCTTCAACCGAACCAGGATATTATCTTGGTTGGAACGGGCAACATAGCGGTAATAACCCTAACCCTAACGATAGCCCAAACCCTAACCCAGGCCCACACGATGCCTGCTCGGTTGGCGCTAGTGGCTGGGTCCTGCGTTGATGTGCAGGTGGAAAAATTCTAGGTTGATATGCCGGTGGCGAAGTTCTAGGTTGAAGTGCGCATGGGCGGCCCGTGGGTGACCCGTGGGTGTCCCATGGACGGTTTAGCAAAATGGTCAGTACTGTGGGACATTGCCATGTGGGTTTTGTATCGGCGCCGACGAGACACGTTTCGGTGAACCCACCCTCCATCGCAGTATGAATATTCGTACAAGAGAATGCTTGGGGATATGGATGCCCCGTCCGCTGCACGTATACCCCAAGGGATTGGGCGTGCACCCTTTCTTCGCGAGGGCCGAGGTTCGACCTCAAGCATCCTCGCTTTCGTTCTTTTCTTCAATTACCCTCACGCTTTCACGGTTATTGTTTTTCCTAGGCCGTCTGTGTCGTGGGCATCACGGGAACGCATTTTTTGTTGTGCATGAAGGACTGTAACCAAAAGTTTTGGCCACCCATACAAGGATCCTGACTAAACCGCATTTCCCTGAAATTTTGCCCCACGATGGGCGGCGCACGGGTATGCCCAACATGCTCACCGTGGTGGGCTGGCCACCATGGACTGCACATGTTGGGGTGCCCATGGCCAGCCCATGGCCAGCCCATGCCGGGCATTGTAGGCTTGCCCGTGGGCATGACCATTGGCGGCCCATCGTGGGCAAAAGTGCAACCCATGGAGCACCCACCATGAACATCTCATGGGCTGTCCATGGGCTGCTCATGGGTGGATTATCAAACCCCCTGAAAGTGTGCGGGACCCATGGCAGGGGAGCGAGCGCACGTCAACATGAACAAAAAATCAAGGAAACGCGATCCGTCAGTGGACAGAGTGGACTTCCACCTACTACCCGTCCGTGGACATTTCCTTGGACATGTCCGTGGACACGTCCGTGGACATGTCCGTGGACAACTTCCATGGACATGGTCGTGGACGCGTCCATGGACGTCCACTGTCCACGGACATGTCCACAGACGTGTCCACGGACGTGTCCAAGGAAATACCCAAGATACCGTCCATGGACATCCGTGGACGTGTCCGTGGACGTCCGTCCGTGGACATCCTTGGACGTCCACGGACTTGCCACCGACGTGTCCACGGACGTCCACGGACGTGTCCATAAAATGGTCAAATAATGTACATAACCCGGTTCGATTGAGTGGCACCTTGACCGTGGGATAATCTAGCATTGCAGGGAAACGCGCACGTGTGACCTTGCTTACGTGGCTTCGTCATTGGTTTGCACAGCGAATAGGGAGGCGTGCATGGATGCATGTGATTTGGTTTTCTTGGCGAAACTGTTGGTTGGTTGTGTCCTTCGTCGTTGGTTGAAATATTGTGTTGCCACATTCATTCATTCGGTGGAGTGTTTATCTGACATTGCGAAACGTTAGCTGCCTGTTTATCATGTGGTTTGTATCATGTTATTTTTTTGTTTCACTGCTTTTTACCACTCATTCTGACAGCACTTCAGACAGCAGCTGCATGCCCCGAGCTTGTGTACCATGCACCATGGTGTTATGATTATACAGACAGCACTTCAGACAGCAGCTGCATGCCCCGAGCTTGTGTACCATGCACCATGGTGTTATGATTATACAGACAGCACTTCAGACAGCAGTACACTGTAGACGACAAATATTCATTTTGGTTAAATGCGGGACAAGGGGGGTGATGCTGCTGCTGTAGTCGAATTGTAGTGTGCGGGCGTGTAGTTCAGTGTGAGCACGCAAACGTGCTGCAGGGAATGTAGGTGTACCTCCTCGGGCTTGTGCACCCTTTTCTTGCTTATAGTGTGTGTGTTCTTTCGATCTTCTGATGGCTCTAGCATTTTTGTGACCACGGACCGAGTCTTCGCTAGATTTTGGGATTAGCAACTGACACGAGTTTAATGTGAAGAAACAGCAACAACAACAACAACAACAACAACAACCACGTGTCGAGGGAGGCATTTTCGCCACCGGGCACACCTTCAGGAAAAACGACGAAAAAAACAAGTTTTTTGTTTGTTTAGTATAGAAGGTAACAGCACCGTTCATGCGGGCGCCCCACGCGACTTTACTGCTTTCAGACCATGTTTCTGCCCTGCCCGATGCTATTGGAGCATGGTACGTTTGTGCCATGCTTGTGTGTAGTGCAGTTATTCGAAGTCAAATGGCAGTAAAAATGGAGGGCATGGAGCACTGTTTTTGCCGGATGTGCCGAACGGCTAACGGCTGTTGTTTTCATTCATTCCATCGAACGCATTTTCCCGTGCTGTCGAGAACTTCTTTTTCGATGGAAGTTTTGGGCAAAGGCGTTGCGGCCGGTACTGAATCATCATGGACCGGGCTTCGTGCACCCTAAGTGTTATATGCCGCTCAACTCTGCGAGCTGGTCGTCGCTGCTGCTGCTTTTCGCTTGACGTCAACGCCTACCCTCATCACAACCTACTAGCCTGCTGAACGAAGCAATCTGGCTTCGAGAAAGTCTTCGTGAATGTATGGACCGGTTGCGCTGTGAAACCTCGTTCGTGCCAGGTATGAATCTTATGGAAAGTGCGTTAGCAACGATACTGGAGTGGCTACTCTGGAATTGTGGACAAATCTGGAAACAAACAACGCGGAAAACGCCAAAAATCGTCGGAACGTTCGTCGGTAGCGCCGTCGTTGCCAGCCGCGACCTGAAGGGTCCAAGAAGCAATCGAGATCAGGAAGTTTCTTCAAAGAACCTGTCGTCATCAAGCGTCCGGACACGAGCAGTCACCTCCTGGAGGTACTTAATTGTTCCGAAATAGCTTTTCCCAGACGATGTGTACGTGTGTTCGTCTTCATAAATAATGTCGCCAGTCTACCCACCTTTCGGCGTATATACCTGACGTACCAGCCGGAGCAACACAAGGGGAAGTTTACACGGGAGCGTTTTCCGTAATTTGTGTGTTTTAATGCTTCACCTACCCCCTGCGCTGCCTTAGTTTCTGTCACTAGAACGGTTCAACCACCCCTTCTCCTCGTCTCGACCGTGAAGCCGAAGTGTATCATTCACCATATTTACAGAATGGTGTGACTGCGCAGGCGATATCCCCAGCAAAACCGTGGCCTCTCTTGTTTCGCCTAATACGGATTGGCGGCAGCGGAGCGGGTTCCCACTGCACGGCAGTAGTTGCCCCAGGACAGTGCTGGCGTTGTTGGGTCTTGCTCCGTGCAACCCATAATGGGCACAGACGAGTAGCGTTCCCCCGCTGACAACACACTTGCGCCGAAGCTCACACCAAGCACGTACACGGCGTTTGGACTTGTGATTTCCACCTACTGACCGTCGTTCCGAATGTGGTCGCAGACACATGCAGGAGCCATCGCCGCAACAAGGCACAACAACAGCATAATAGTAACATCAGGCACATTTTTCCGTTGGCCCTCGGGTCTTGTGGCGGCACTTGCTTCGATTCGCGTGTGTACAACACCCCGCCATAGCTAGTCGTATTTCAGAGCTCGTCATACGTTCCCCGTAAACACAAGAGTATTCGTGCCGCCTGTTGTGAGTTTGGTCCGATACGCTTACGCTGCGAGAAACATCTGTATTCGGAAACTGTTTAATGCAGGAGTTCTCTCGCGCTTCCTTCCTCTTTTGACTTAAGCTCTCCTTCCGCTCCTCTTGTTGCGTGTGCCGGCGATTCTTCTCCCAGTTATCGCGTCATCCTGCTCGTAGCCATTGAAGCCGTCAAACTGGGCTTAGCGGAAGGCACACGTGAGTGGCGAGCCTCGTGATGATATAATACTTGCTGGGAAGGAGGTGCATCAGTAGAATTGGCTCAAGCCAGCGCACGGAACGACTGCTGTATTTTTAACATGTAATTGGTGTTTGACCTTACTTAAAGGTACGTTAGCCGGCAACCACAGGAACCCACCGCCTCAAGCGGTAAATCAGTACGGACAGATGAAGGCTAGGCAAAGAGATCGGAACGGCTTTTAATAGTGTGAACCAGAAGAACAACATTCTCGCGCTAATTACGTGGGCCGTGACATGTGTTGAACGGTTCCTCCTGACCCGCCGCGTTGCTGCTGCTGCTGCTGCTGCTGTTGTTTCGTGCCCGTGCAGTGCTGTGTGACTTGCCATCGGGTTTGAAGTGCGCGTGGTATAACCTGTCGCACCCTGCCCAGTGCGCGGCATTGATCATGGTGAGTCCGCTCTGATTCTCCCTTCATGCTGCAGAGCGTCGAGTTCGACGGTACACCTAACCCTAGGAACGCCCCCCATAAAAGCTACTGCCGCTAGGGTGCCCATTGAAGCAAACGAAGTTGTTCTTGTCCTGGAGTTAGAAGAGTTGATGTATTGATAGAATGGTGTGCAAATCCCCCCCCCCACCTCGCTTGGATGCGTGCACCCCGGCTCGGTTTATCGCAGACGCTGGGATGCATTTACGGGGTAAACCGGCTTTTCGACAAGCTTGATAGCGCTATGTATGCTCGACTTTCCCGCGCAACGCGCAACTGGATGCAACAGAGGAGGGAGGCGCTCGGGATGTAGGGAAAACCGAAGCCAGGCTTAAACGACCATGGTTATATAGACGGGAAGATTGGACGGTGGCTCTGGAGGAGGTTCTAGAGGCGCGGCATCCCGTCACTTTCCGTCAATGCTGCGGATCGTCAGAGTTGCGGATCGTTCGTCAGAAGACCGACTCGGAGACTGGGCGCCAAGTAGTTTGGTGTGACACCATTGGATGCGACAAAGGAGGGAGGCGCTCGGGATCTAGGGGAAACCGAAGCCAGGCTTAAGCGACTACAGTCGTTGTCCCGGGTTAACGGTCCATAATGTCACGAAATGTTATAACCATTAGTAGTAGAAGTAGTGAGGGCATCGCCGTTAAACTGGAATGACAGTTGTGTTCTAGTTAAGACTACCGAGGTGCAGCCGTGCCACGAGATTTTGGGACCACTACTTAAGGCATCCCGCTCACCAGGGAACCGATGAGCCGGGACCACGACTGTATGTATATATTGATAAGGAAGAGTCCACGCTGGACCTGGAGGAGGGTTCGGGAAGTGCGGCATCCGGTCGCTTTCCGTCAAAGCTGCGGATCGCAAGAGTTGCGGATTGTTCGTCGGAAGACCGACTTCGAGATTGGACGTGAACTAGTTCGGGTGTGATGCATTTGGATCTATCTCGGGATGGGCGCGTTCCCGACAAACGACCCCAACAACGAATTGCCGCTTGGCTGTTCACGCAGGTTCCTACGGTTCATTTGGTTGGAGAACATGGAGTTGGGGATCGGTCGTCTTTCTTCAATATTGGGAATCGCGCGAGTTGCGTATCGTTAGTCGGCAAACCGACTTGGAGATTGCGCGGGGAGCAGCTTGATGTGAAGCATTCGATCTCTCTTGAGCTGGGCAAGTTGCCGGTAATTCACCCGAAACGATTTGCCACTTCGCTGCTTGCGCTAGAGGGGCGCTTTGCTAGTCTCAGGTAGTTCCTGACGGTGCATTTGGTTTATAAAAATGGAACTGGGGATCATTACGTTGTGCATGGTAATTTTCCATATTTTCGGTTTGAGCGGCTGCATATATGGCTAGTACGTGTTGAAAGAACAACAGGACAAATCGATTGGTGAGTGTTTCATTCCAGCTTTCGCTTCCCGAACGCTGCGTTCCACGTTTTGGGTTGGTGCGTGGCCCCAACACTGAGCAATGCGCCCTGCTCAAGGCGCCTCATGAGGGCATGAATTCACGCACAGCACGTACGTGACCTCGCGGTTTCTGTCTCTCGCCGAGGCAAGCCTGTTGCCTCTCTGCAACGCGCGCTTTCGAGTGCGCTTCGGATTCAGGGGTCACTCTCGCGGAGGGAGAACGCAATATAACAATCCTGCAGTGCAAAAATCACGCAACGAAGAACGAAACAAAGCGATTCGTCTTCGCCTTCCTTTCCAGGTAGGTCGCATGCCTTCTCTTCGGCACGTCTGGGAGAGAGCAAGTGTATCGCCTCGCACAGCTGGTCGCTGTAACGTGGCGAAAGGTGGGGGATGGCCTACTGCTTCCTCCACTGCTTTGCCAAGCGTTTCCGACATATCACGCATGAAGCGACACGACAGACCACCCTGGCTGCAGTTCGAGCGAATTTGTATCCGAAACTTGTCTCGGCCGTCGTTGACGTGCTGACATTTTCAATACTTCGGATGGCTATGGGACGCCCATGGGACCCTTGCGATCCCATGGGATGTCCCATGAGACGTGCGCGATGTTCCTCACGTGGACGTCCCATGGCCGCCCCCACGCGGGATGGGCATAACAACCACCTGCCCTCACCTGACGTTCGTCGTGGGACGACTCAGAGGACGGCCATAGGACGAAACGGACGGCGATTCGACGTCCATGGGACAGCGGGGGTCGCCCTAGACATCCTACGGGAAGCAAAAATACTGTCGGGAATGAATGTGGTAGCTCATTCTTCCATTCGCATCAGAGATAAAAACCCCTGACATCGACATGACGAAACAATCGGCCCAGTGGTGTTGTCATGAGGACTACTAGCGTGTATTTCTTCTCTCGCCGCCCCCCCCTCGGTGTTTGCCATCGGGGTTGGGTTTTCGTCGCTTAGCAACGACGTTGTAAAACAAGCCCCCCCCTCGGTGTTTGCCATCGGGATTGGGTTGTCGTCGCTTGGCAACGACGTTGTAAAACAAGCCAATTCACATCGTGAACACGGCAACCAGTTTACCGTTTGTTTGTTTTTACCTCCGTTTATTTTTTGGCGGTAACCATAATGTATGGTGGTTGAGTAGATCATGTTATGCGGGTTGGAGAACCCTTACTCCGCGCAAGGGGGATGATCGCACCACGTTGTGTTAAAAAAAGGCAAGCACCCTCGAGGCAGTTACACAGTGCCTACAACTGTCTCAAGAAGTGAAAGCACCAGAAAATATATTAAGTCATACGCAGCTGTCATCCGTACGCAAGGAAATAAGCACAAGACGCCGAACACCCTTAGCAGGATGCAGCGCACCCTTCATGCGACTCGCCGAATATCTTACGGCGCTTCGCACTTGGTGATGTGAGAGCCTGGTTCGGTGAGAACCCGGCGTGCTCCGTCCCGGCGCTGTAGGGATGTTTGTACAAGCTTTTCTGGGTTTGTGTTCTGATGTGGAGCACTGCCAACCAATCACACGTGAGGTGTGGTTCTACTAGCAAGGGTGGTTCTGCTAGTGCTTCGGGTCCAAAGGATGTTTGGTCAATGCTGTCAACGCTCGTGGTGTAGTCACGGGTCCCTGATGTGCACAAGAGGTAGAGTCGAATGTGGTCTCTTTTCGTCAGCCTGAAGGTGAACTCCTGATCAGCAAGAACACCTACTGTGACTCAACCGCTTATCAATCCAATCTCACGAGGCTGTCCAATGCTATGCTAAGGCGTCACACTCAACACAACGCTATGGGGAACGCACTCACGCTCACCTAAACCCTAGTCGAAGCTATGCCAAGCGGCTTCTGATCTGGTTACAATCTGCGGAGCTTCCTACAACATTGACCCACCCTTGCTTTTTCGCGGAACAATTACCCTAAAATATTTCGTAGAAAAGCAAGCAACAAAAACGGTAGGGAGCTCTTCGAAATAATCAAAGTACTCCCCGCCCCCCCGTTTACAATTGCTAAATACATAAACAAAGAACCACTCCATATATTCATGATTGCTCCTCCTACACGGGTTTCGACATTTTCTCGGCGTTTCTTACTACGACATGCATCTGATTGCGGGATAGTCTCCTCCATACTGGACTCCTAGTGGGAACTTTGCTGAAATGGGGTGAAAGGCTTCAATTCTTGGCCCATCCGACCCACCCATGTCAAGTCGTGCGGTTCCAGACTACTTGGGCTGGAACCGACTCTTCTTCCCTCGTGAACGTACGTTCAAATTCCCTACTTGCTGAACCATTCTGCCCCGGATGATCCCCGCTACCGCCTCAACCAAGCAGGAATCTAAACAAAACTGGAATGCCACCGACAGCCCCATAGAAAAGCAGAGTTTTACCCCTGGCCCCTAGGCCCTGCCGAGGACACCCAACGCTGCCCAACCATGGGACGCCACCTACAGCCCCAAAGAAAACCAGAGTTTTATCCCTGGCCCATAGGCCCTGCCGATGACACCCAACGTTGTTCTTCCTCCTACCGAACTGACCGGTATAACCCTGTCTCTATTATGACCATCACTGGTCCTGTCGCTTTCGGCTATTCCTATTGGTAAACTTGAAATGTCGTATTCGGCTAAGATCTGAAGCGCACACCAGGATTGCTATCATCTGTAGGTCGCTTATAGCTGGGGAAGGACATGATTCTGGAATCACCGACCCACCCAACTCTGCTCCACGCTAAAATAAAATAATGTCGTCCCCTACAACATTAACTCATGCATTCATCAATAACAACAGGGGCATAACGACACCTCCGATACGAGGCATATCCGATACTATGCCCTACCCAAATTCTTGACGAAACGAAACATAAACATACACACAAGAAGGAGGCGTCCAGGCATATCCGATACCCCGCCCTACCTAACTGCTTGGCGAAACATAACATACAAGTAGATAACCACAAAAACAAAGCAGGGTGATAGCCAACTCCCCTCACTATGATTACCTACATCACACAACTTGCATCACCGACACCGTCGATACTTCGATACAGCCATATCAGCGGACACCTAAATACCACGCTGGCCCCAGAGGTAGTGGCGGTCCCATAAAGATCCCTGTCCGCAAGATTAGATGGTCGATGGTGCCAGGGAAGGCCGACGTGCCGACGTGCCAGAGATCATTCCCGAGCTTGCAGACGAAGAGGGGAGGTCGATCGACACATGATTTTGAGTCGAGCCCTGCACCCGTGCTAGAGAAACTCCCTCCAATAGAACACCAGAACTAAGACGGGAGGTCAACACCGTGGGAGGGTGTGTCGCGACCTCGATCCCACC